ATCTACAGACTACTTAAACTGATTCACACATGCATACACATGAACATGAATGCATATGTACAAATGGTATACCTGTTAAAAATTCCCCTTGAGTTTAGCGAAATACTCGTGTCTAATGTCTTGGCATTTCCCAACGGGCAAGGGCTGAGCCTCGAGGAGTGAAGAATTTCAGCCCAGGCTCCCTTGTCGATCTTCAGCACAATGGAGTTCTGGTTGCAGCAGACTTGTGGAGTCTGCTAGTTTTTGCTGACTCTGAGAGGCGTTTCGATCAGAGGGAGATGCTGGTTCAGCCTGCGGCAGTCCAGGAGAGCTCAAAGGGCCTCACTTAGGACTGCTGTTTATAGGATTGGGAGATGATTGACTTTCACCAGTAAATTGCCCCCTGAGCCACAGTTTAGATCAGTAGTTGCTGGAATTCCAGCAACGATGATACCACTCGTTTTCAAGGCTGTCAGGGGTAGCTGTTTTTTCTTGCTCCCCTCCTTAGCCATAATACCAAGATTTTGATAAGGACAGGGCTGCTCTCTGCTTCAGCCATGTAGGAGTTTATAGTACAATTAAGGGGCACTTAACTGACTAACTCGCTACACAAAAGCGGCGGCCTGGAATTCCTGAGATCGTAAAGCCGTTGAAGAGAAAGAGGGGGGGATGCACCACCACAATTATCCATCAGTCCTAGTTAATTTTTTTCACTGTACAATGCAATTCCCTCCTTTAAAAACACAGTACACAGTAACACTTGTTTATCCCACAAATGTGCTGGAGGGATGTCTGGGAAGAATTCTGGCAATGAAAACTGTACGGTTACCCTAAGTGCTAAGTATTATTAATTTGAAAAAGAATGTGCTACGGTTATTCTAGAAATACGGCAAAGACTGATCATTAAGTTAGATTGTTAAACAAGAAGACAGGAAATATCATCACACCTATCAACCTGTTCCACCACCTCCTCACTTGATCACGGGTTGTCATCTCCCTCCCCTCTCACTCCTACTTATAGTTCTCCTCCCCAGGCTGGCCAGGCAAATGATCACTACTATGTATTTCTTGTGCTATCACAGCACTTAGGAAACAATCATGGATCCTTCTGGATAAGGTACAAACACAGCTTTTGCCCCACTCGTTGAGGTGACTCTCATCTCTTCCTAGCTGTTCTTAATCCTCGAAGAGGGGATGCATCCCATAGTCATAAAAGGTAACTCCCCATTTTCAGCACCAGCTGTGCAAACAATAGTTGACCGACAGGATCCATCCATTGCTCCAGCCCTACCCCCTCACCAGGAGGACTGAGGAGAAACCACCTGGGCACCTCTGTCTTTGACTCGCCCTACAGCAATGTAGTCATGCTTGATACGCTCTAGGTCTCCCCTGGCAGTATTGTTGGTGACCATGTAGGAAAGCAGCAGGGAGTAGAAGTCTGAGGCCCAGACAAGACTCAGCATGCTTTCCACACCATCCCAGATCTCAGCCCCCAACAAACCTCCCCAAACAGCACGCAGGGGCAGCAAATGGGAGCATCCATCTCCCTCAGCAGGGAGTCTCCAACTAGTATCACTCTTCACTTCCTCCTGCATGGTTCAGGCTCCGCCAGCTCAGGTGCTTTGCTGGAGAGAGCTTCCAGCCTCTCGTCTGCTACCAGAGCACGGAAGCTGTTCTGTAGCTGCAAATGTACTCCTGTTTCTGGTACCTCCTCCAATCATCCATGACCTATTGAAGCTATCTTTTGTTCTGGTTTTATGCAGTACCTAGAAGGATCCACACTTGTTTCCTGAGTGGTGTGATAATACAAAACAAACTAATGATCATTTGGTTTTACCTCACTGTAGTAATGGTTAAGAGTGAGAGTTAAGTGACGGGTTATTTCAGGTTCCATGCTGCCTCTGTGGTTCTCTGACACTATGACAACTCTTACATATATAGAGACATATGCAGAGAGGCTTATTTATGTTAAACTTTTCTTAAATCAGGCTAGACATGGAATCACAAACTCCTGGCTTCTGAACTGCTCAGTTTAATGAATGGACTCAACCTAAGGCATTTTAAGGCATCTCTTCAACTACATTACAATCTGCTGCTAGAACTTAGAATCACTTTGCCACAGAGAAGCCTATGAAAATGTAAAGTTTCACAATAGCACGTTTTTGTCAGCAAGAACATTTTGTAATCTTTGGATTGTGACATCATTCATCACTGGCTGAAGCACGGATCAGATTTGGCTACTACAACATCAGATTAAAAAGCAGCATGAAGATATGAATAAACCAGCAACAAACAAAGAGGAAATAGCTCCCTATCCAAGCAGAACTTTCTTCAAGATCTTAGAAATACAGATCTACATTTCCAAAGGCAGCTAGTCATTTTGATGTTTGATTTGACACACCAAAACAGGCTCAGGTCTTCACAGCACTAAAGTTCAGCAATCTGTAAAAAAACAAGATCCGCTCTAAGAATGGATGAGACAACCACACAGCAAGCCCCCCAAAACCACTAGTCACTTCTAGGGAAAGGCAGTAAAAGGGAGAAGCAAAAATAAATGCATTAACTTCAATAAATTCAGCAACATGGGTATATGTTTTTTTTTCTTTTTCTCTCTTCTACTTATTTCTCCTACATCTTTTCCCTTCATTTCTTACAGTTCCTATCTCTGCACTGCTGAGCTGTGTTCTCCTCTCTCCAGTTCCCTTCAGGAATTCCCAACCTTCTGTTCTATGTCTCATTCCCCTTGTCGGTGCTTCTTCCTTTTCCTTTTCCTAGTGCCTCTCCCTCTCGCACTAAACACAGTAGGCTCACCTTCTCTCTAGAAACCCCTCTTCTTTTTTGTCCATTTCCATAGCCTGTACCTACTCCATCTCCTGATTCGTGTACTACCACCTCATTTCTTCCCCAGATCCTTACACAGAAGAGGGTGTGTGAATGGAAGTGGTTTGGTAAGTATCAGAGCTGAAATCAGATTGCTTCCAGTTTTTTTCCTGTCTTGTATCTTTTCTGCCACCCCTTCTGTCATGATACCTGCCTATCCTGCTGCAAAACAGGCAGTATAGCTAGTGAGGAGAATGCCACTTGTCTCTAGCAGCAGTCCCTGGGAATGAAGGTACATCTAAATTCCCCAAAGAAAACCAACAGATCCCATAAATTTCAGCACCTAAATCAATTTGAATAAACTGCTTTGTTTTAAAGCTGTTCTTTCTTCACAGATCTTAACAGGAAAAGGAGGAGATCAGGATCTTTGAAAACTCTGTGTGCCTTCACTAGAAGCCTCAGGTACATGAGTTCAGCAAAGATCTCCAAATGAGACATTCTTTGGTTGTATTTTCTATGGCATGCCCCAGAGCACCAGCTGACCATTGCAGGCAAATGCTAAAATGCCTGAAATGATACCTAGATCAATCTCTTTTCAGGAGGTATGTTCAAGGAGGGCTTTTCCAAACATATGAATTTGTTAAGGTTATATGTTAGGAAAGGCAAGTAAGGTACATTATGTAACACAAAACCAACGCTCACCACCTATCAGTAGAAAACAAGTGATTATTCCACACATTTACAAAAAGTTTCAGAATGTGAAATAAGGTGCCTCAACACAGCAGCCCTAAACAGGTTTCTCATGCAAAGATTTCAAGTCTGTTGGCTACTTACTAAAGGAAGAGGTGGGTTAGCTCTGCAGAAAGATGCCCAGAGGTGACTGCTATAAGAACATTCATAGAACCATAGAATGCTTTGGGCTGGAAGAGACCTTTAGAGGTCATCTAGCCCAACCCCCCTGCAGTAAGCAAGGACAGCTTTAACCAGATCAGGTTGCTCAGAGCCCCATCCAACCTCACCTTGAAGGTTTCCAGGGATGGGGCCTCCACCACCTCTCTGGGCAACCTGTTCCAGTGCTTCACCACCCTCATTGTAAAAAATTTCTTCCTTATGTCTAGTCTAAATCTATTCTTCTTTAGTTTAAATCCATTATTCCTTGTCCTGTCACAACAGGCCTTGCTAAAAAGATTCTCCCCATCCTTCCTATAGGCCCCCTTTAAGTACTGGAAGGCTGCACTAAGGTCTCCCCGCAGCCTTCTCTTCTCCAGGCTGAACAACCCCAACTCTCTCAGCCTGTCCTCGTAGGAGAGGTGCTCCAGCCCTCAGATCATTTTTGTGGCCCTCCTCTGGACCCGCTCCAGCAGGTCCATGTCCTTCTTGTGTTGAGGGCCCCAGAGCTGGACGCAGCACTGCAGGTGAGGTCTCACCAGAGCAGAGCAGAGGGGCAGAATCACCTCCCTCGACCTGCTGGCTGTGCTTCTTTTGATGCCTATGATTACCTATGTAATCTGCAGTCCTGTGAGATGTCTATGAATTATAAAATAATATTACCCTGCAATTTCAAGATGAGGTGTTATAGTGGAAGTTTATTATTATTGACTCTTACTTTTCATTCCTGCATGTCTTGAGTAGAATTGAGGCTGTAAAAGTGAACTGTTTCTGTTCTGTGACACTGGTTTCAGGCTTCCAATGGAGAAACTCTTTTTCACACTCCAGATTCCTTCCAGAGCCACTGTTAATAATTTGTCAAAATAATACCATTATAACTGATCACTTCAATTTGTTCTAGAATTAATGTAACTTTTAAAAGACAGTCCCTTTGGTCTATACAGAAATTAGAAGTCGTTAAGCAGAATACTGTAATCTTCCTCCATAGTTAATGAAAAGAGATTGACATCTTCAGAGAGCAATTCAGATTCCTAAAGGTATATGATGCTCTCTACTGTCTGTAGAACAGCTTAGGACTACTAGGCTCCTAACTTAAGCAGATGCAGCTGATGTATAACATATAAGAAGCAGCAGTAATACCATAGATGCATCCAGCACGATTTATTGGTCATACTGGAATACCAAATAACCCTCATAAAAAGGTAGCAGAACCGCGCCCCCCCCCCCCCCAAAAAACCCCAAACCAACAAAAAACCAAAACCAAACCAACAGCACCAAAACAAAACAAAAAAGCTCATTTATTTTGTTGGTTACAATTTCCTATCTAATTTATGCTAATTTAAGCTTACTAGTAATCTAAACTGTGTAAATCAGTAACCATCCAACCTGACAACTGTTTGTCAGAGCCCAGGCCACTTAGGGAACATCTCTAATTCTCCAGATGTATACAGATGAAAAAGGAACTCAGTACTTGCTGAATAATCCGTATACCAGCATTTGTTTGATCTTATACCTAGCATTGTCATGCTATGCATATAACATTATGCTATACATGCCATTTATATACTGAGCTTGTTATACATCCATATTATACATTCCTGTAAGGAATATTTTTGTAGTGTTTCTATATTATCTTCAGTACTTTAAGCCTTTGTAACATACAATTCATTGGGGGACTCCCCGGAAATCATGAGAACATATATGGTAGCATCCATTTGTATGACCAGACTGAAATCTTCCGGACAGTTTTGATCCATTGGTAGATGGATGCAGTGAAATATAATTGTGTTCAGCTCTTCGTAACATTAGACACATGAGCAGATTGAGCAGACCAACATTAACATCTGCAATTCAACTACTTGTCCAGAACCCCTTTACAGTCAACGGGAAAAGAACAGGCACTTTTAGAGCGTGACACATACAACGGTAGGTATCTAGGACAAATCAGAAGAATTGTGTTTCCAAGTGCCTTTTTCTCTCCATTTACTACAAACAGAGCCTACGTAAGTCATTCATTTGCAGGTGTGTGCTGTAATTGCCTAAGGAGCCTAATCACAGTAATGGAGTTACAGGTTCAAATGGTCTTTACATCTGACAGGTACATAAGTTAGGAGATGTAACCGGTATTGTTTTTGTCCGTGAATCCAACTGTTTTAAATTAATTTTGAGTGAGTTTAGTCTTGGGTCTCAATCCTACATAAGAGAAACCAGACTCTTCTTTTTTTCAAAATTTTCCAAATGTGGAAACAAAGGCAAAAATACCTTTATTACATTTGTGGAGGATGTAATGATTAGGAGATATAGTGGTGGTCTTATTCCAACAAAACGCAGCTTAATACAACCAAGGAATAGCTTTACTCTACAGAAGAGAATGTGGGGCTACAGAATGGGAACTGTGTATTGTGGAGCAAAAGCATCATAGATTTAGGAGTAACAGTTGACAAACAGTTCAAGGTCCTAGTGCTAATGTTATCTCTAAAATAAGTAGATGATTCTCTCTCTTTACAGGCTACTAGTGATACAAATATTGAAATACCATGATCAGATTTGGTATTCACATTTTAAAAGAGGAGGCAAAACAACTGGTGAGAGTACATACAGAGCCAAAACCAAATATATGTGTCTATACCTTCTCTGGAAGAAAATCCTGAATACTAAAAAAGGCACTATTATATATCCAAGAAAAGCAAGGAGATGAATCATGCAAATCCAAATTATTAATCAGGCTTTTTTTTTTTTTTAATACACCAACCACTAGAACAAACTAATGAGGGAAGCTGTGGAATAACCAGCTTTACTCAGTGGACTCTACAGAGAGGTACCTAATAAAATACAATGGCTTGGCTGATAAAGGCAGTAAGTAAGACCTTGTAGTCTACCAGGTGAGATGACTTATCCTTAAAGATTACAAGCTTCTGAAAATTAATTTTCTACAATTAGATTAACAGATCTTATGGCTGCAGGAGACCACCAGCATGATGTAAGTTTTGTCTTATATGGGTCATATGGCTTCAGGCTCATTCCTGCACCAAGGCTAGCAAAAGACCTTGGACCAGGGCTGATGGTTAAAGTGCTAAATATTTAAAGTCTGTATTAAAAATGGTGACTGTAAGTGATCTTTGCTAAATTGTTCCAGCGTTAACTTCTCCTTTTGTTAAAAACCACTAATTATTTCTACTCTGATCTTATTTTTACTGCCAGTTCTCAGAACTGTTAATAGTTACCTAGACTGAACACCTTGTTCCCTCTTAGGCTTCTATTTCCTGATTTACCTACTGTAATCAAGTCTCTCCATAACCTTTAAGCTGCCTAACCAGACTGACTTTCTAATTGCTTTCACTGTTTGCCTGTTCTTTATTTACCTTTATCATTCTTACCTCAACTCGTTCTTTTCAATGCCAACTTCAGTTTTGAACAGCAGAAGGGGACCAAGTATTCTATTAACTACAGCACTTCTTTCAAAGAAAAAGGTAATAAAACCTCCCTATTGCTTGGCATTTGTTTCTGTTTTATTAAACTGAGAGATCACATGGAATTATCCATGTTCTCTATGGTCCCATAATTTCAGACTTTTTTTTAAAAAAAAAAGCTATAAGGACTATATACAACTCTTGTGTTTCTAAATGTTTCCCAGGCTCTTAAATTAATGTTCTGGGCTTTTTTAAATAATAATTTTGCCACAGTTCCTCAAAACAATTTATATTTCATTTGCCCTGACAAACACTTGCCATTTGCTGATAAGGAGGATTACCTGCAGCTGGATGTTTAATGTGGCATGCTTCTTTCTGAAAATAAAGTTCTTCTTCAAGTATTTCTTTAACTCTCCTAGATGGCTCAACACATACAAATTTCTTCCCTGTTAGTAAAACATATTACAAAAGAACCAGTTAGTTTAAACCTCCTGAATGCTAACGTGCTTTGCCAAACGTAATGTCATTTTACGCTGCTCTGTCTTTAATGATTCACAAATACACGACAGCGTTCAGCCAGGCCCTGCTCCCCAGCGCGGAGCCGTTCCCCAGGACGGGACCGTGGCGGCGGCGCTGGGGGGCTGCAGCGCGGGGGTGGCTCTCGGTGCAGGAGCC